CTCAAGTTATTGTCTGGAAAACATATGTCTAGAGACCACAATGACCACATATCCACACCATTATAAAATGACAAAAGTTTTGCAGTCTATAAAAACTTAATGTTGACCACACTTCAAAAAAAGGCCAAGGTCAGATGTATCTCATCAGACAATCATATTCACATTACAATCATTCTGTACACCATACATTGTTGACCTAGAGAATCTGACCGAGAACAGACCAAATCATGGAACCTAAATGATGACCAAATGGTGCAGGATAAGCCACTCAAATTAACAAATTGTTCGTAAACCTTTTTCTTATCCCAATCCATGCAATGTGATTAAAAATATATCTCTTCATGTGAGAAATAGATCACAGGCAATAACCAAAAGAGAATTAATTGTCCTTATTACACATAAAAACTGTCAAATTAATTTGAAAACAAATAATGTACACATACCCTTAAAAATGGAACCAAGATAATGTTCATATGCCAGATTAAACCAGACCATAAAGCAACTGCATACACGATATGGATTAACTCATTCTTCTTCAGTCTGGATTATGAAGTTTTATATCAGGAGCATCCACTGCTAGATCTGTATCCCTGTGTTTTGTATCTGATGAGCCTTTATGTAAACTAGATCATTTTAGAATTCTAGATCTATTTAAAGACTTGGCAGCCAATCAGGTAATCAGCAAGTCCAATGAACATTTCTGTCATGTAATTCCTAAGTATCATTTGTGTCAAGTCTTGTTTAAACTAGCAAAGAAGTTTCTGTGACATTTAAAACTCAAAACATGATGTTGAAAGATATCAAGAGATGGAAATATAAACTGTTGACACAGAGATATGTCTTGCGTTTTTGGTGGTATAATGCAAATGTTGAAATTAAATTGCAATATTTAAACTTATCTATGCAATGAACCATGACTGACGGTTCAGGGCAAAATAATAACACCATGGAAATGCTAATTCTTATAAATTAAAACTGCATACCCAACACCATTGACTTATCAATTGGTTCCTTGTTAAACTGTGAAAGTTTCAAAGTCCATGAACCATGATAAGGAAGTGGGACCAAATAATCTCTATGAAAATGAGACTTGCAAATGCCAATACAACTGCATACCAAATATCAGATATTAGTCACTCATCTTAAACTGATCTAATCACAAATCGCATGTAAATAATGCAAAACATTCAGTCAATAAACCATGACTGAGGCTGGAGCTGAACAATCTCTATGGAACCGAGATTTGTCAATGCATCTGTCTACCAAATATCATTGACATACCACTTATAGTTCCCTTTCAATTGACCTAATCACAAACTTATACATGTAAACTAATTAAAAGTTTTAAGTCGACTATGACTGAGGGAGAGAAGCAAAATAATCTCCTTAGAAATAAGATTTCAATGCTTATATAACTGCATACCAAATATCATTGACCTACCACTAGTTGTTTTCTTTAACTTGAACTTATCACACAATCAAATACATTGTTGAAGCTGCTGCTTATGGAAAAAGCATGCCCAAGTCTCGCTTTTTCAACTTCGTCCATACCATACAATAAATCCGCTGTGTGTTACCCTTGACCACAGAAACCTCTTCCCCCTTTATTTGTCATTCAGACTCAAATAAAATATAAGATAGGTTTTCTCAATTAAATTTTTATTTACCTATTTAATTATATCATTATCATGCATCATAACATAAAATACCCAAATGAAACCAGACCTATTCTGCTCCATCAAGTGTGTACAAATACCATAGAAATTGTAATAATAATAAGTTTTTAGTCCCTTTATAAGTAAAAAGGAGGAAAAGGATCTGCATCATGGGTAAGGTATCATTGGTTAAATATTACAATTATACAAAATAACTGACAGCGCTGAGGATTCTTTTTAGTTTCTTGATACCAATTCCCAGACTAGCTGTTTAAATAGAATTTAGAAAATCAATTCTGTTCTGAGATACATGTCTTAAATTTTCATATCCTTAGGTCTTAAAGGAATATTTTTTAAACTTAAAATAAATTTATATAATTCCATAAAATATATGAATCCTCAGTTTGTCACATACGAAGAGGCATTTACAAATATAACAAGGAATACAATGGTAAATACTAAGATAAAAAATGCATAAAAATACATGAATCAAATTCATTTATGAGGTGTACTCAATTTATTTACTGGGTTATTTAAATAAACTAATATCGTAATCTGTGCAAAAATTATTAGATAACCAAGGAAATAGTTAACTGCATTTCATTAAACATTTGTAACCCCAAGCTCTTATATTGTATATAAAGTTTCTTTATAATTCCTCCCAATTTCTAACCAAAGTCAATTCTTTATATCAAAGTAGGATAGTTATTTAACAATACATGTATGATATAAGTATTTTTTATTATTATTTTCTTGGAACCAGAACTTTTTGCCCAGGAAGTAATAAGTAATTATTTCATATAAAATAAAAAGAGGAGATATGATTGCCAACAAGACAACTCTCCACCAGAGACCAAATGACATAGAATTTAACAACTATCAGTCACCTACAGCCTTCAACCATGAGCAAAACCCATACCCATAGTCCATATCCTTTAGGAAATGTGCCATAGTAAGCAAGTATATCATCAGTTTGCTCATCTGTCTACAACTTCCAATCACAATTAAAGGATTGAATTGTTTTTGCCTAAACTTTCAAATAATCTTCAGTATCTGTTGGCATTGTGTATATTTTTTTCACATCCAAAGGTTCCCCAATCGAAGAATGGACTTTTCCATCTATAAAATTTTATTACTCATATTAAAGGATAGGTTGAACATAGATTTAGTTAAGAGCAAGATTCTGCCTTTATAAATCTTGTAATTTGGTCAATCTTCAACGACCACTTCAATATTTATGTTCATTCATTTTTCAATTTTATCCACTAGAGTTAAAAGCATAATAAATGTCTGATCTCATTATGTAAATTTATATTTTGAATTGCATGTATAATCAAAATATATAAACTCAATCATACTAAGGCTTGGTATAACAAGATTTGACAGTAAAAACAAATAAAATCACATAAAAACCACTAAAATCAAATAAAACAAGATAAAACACAAATCTTGTTATAGCAAAGCCTTATAAAATTTACATTAAAGCTACAGTGGTAAAATATATCAGTGTGAACCCCAAATTTATTTTGAATTTAAGTCATTAAAATTTTGTCATAATGAGATCCAACTACTAAAAACATGATTAAAAACAAATATATTTGAACCAACCTATCCTTCACATGATAAAATGGTGGTATGAGAAGCTTTTTTCCCTTTTTTTTTCAAATACTTAGGAGGTCCATTCATTACAATTGAGAACCCCAAAATTTCATTATAATAAAATAAAATACACACAGCCATTAGATACAGAAGATAATCTGAAAGTTTAAATGAAAACCTTCCAATAGTTTATAAGCTGTGGATGAGAGATGATGATGGACAAACAGACAGACAAATCTTCTTTAATAAAATTGAGAATGGAAATGGGAAATATGTCAAAGAGACAACAACCCGACCAAAGAGCAGACAACATAACCTTTTTATGCTCAACATGAGTGCAGATGGGTATGGGATTTGGTCCTGCCCTGGGTCATATCAAAGAATTGAAAATTGGTATTTGATGCTCCCCTGCTAAGCATTCAGCAATTAGGAGTAGGAGCATTAAGACTGGTCAGCTGGAAGTCAGAATAATGTGTTCAGGTAGGGTTAGATGTCTTGTGCAGACTTTTACATTATGAACTAGCACATTAAAAAAATCTTGCATTTTTAATTATCCATCCATCCTTCAAAATCAAAACTTCTTTTACAGGATCCTGGTTATACATGTGGAGGGGGGAGGTAATTGTTTAGAAGCTGAGTACAAGCCTCAAAAATCGAACATTAAAATATAAATAATCATAAATGAGAAAAAATATAGAAATCAATCACACAAAAATGAGAAAATATGACAAACTGCAAAAACTATGTAATTATTTTCACTTGAGTGGTCTCAGATGCTGAATAATGCATTTATAATATATAAACAAAACCAATAAATAAAACTGACAGCCAATAATTTGTATGAATGTATAAAGAATGCAGAGTCAAAACAATCCATCTAACTAAACATTTTTATTTCTAGTTCATATTGCACCAAAAATTCAGTACTTAAATTGTTTAATAGGGGATTTGTTTTATTCCCTTTTAGTGTTTGGCCATCAAAGTCCTACTTAATAGGTTTCTAACCAGAAAAAATCATTTCACAAAGGACTTATAATTCTTAACCAGTGTTCATAACTTAAAATATATGTAAACTGAAGCAAGTCTTATGGGTATCTGGTGAAACCATACATCATACCTTTGGGACCTCTCAAATAACAATAATTTCACAGTTTTTTTTTATATTTCTTCAATCACAAAACAATAATTGAATGCAAGAAAAAATAATGAAATAAATATCCATAATTTGATTAATAAAGCATTAAAAATTAATTGCATTTATAATTCATTCTGCTTATAAGACAAATATCTGCTGATTTTTTACAAAAGATAGCAACAGTTCATCCATTGGTTTGCAGGATTGTAGTCTGAGGATTTTACCATACAAGGAAGGCAGCAACAGCAACTCTTTCGACTGAAAAAGAAACAAAGTTAAATTTCAATTGTTGATTCTTAATTTTAAAATAATCTAACGGGAATAAAGAAACAGACATCAGTGTATGTTAAACAATTTGTTTATTACTTATATTGATTACTCAAAAATATATAGTATCAAAAATATCCGATTTTATTGTTATCTCCCCTTCATATATCTTCTTCAGATCTAGTATCTGCTTTAGAGAGTACATTATTTTAAAATGAAAAGATTGAATACTGATTTTTTTTAATTGTAAATTAAAAAAAAAATATATATATTGAAATCTATTTAGTGACATTCATCACACTATAACATAAACACATTAAAGTTGTATGTTGATGAATAAGTTCTCGCCTTATAACAGCTTTATCCCAGCAAGTAACCTAATGGAAACCTGATGCTAACCTGGGATATAAAAGTAGTCAGTTATACTAAACTTTCCTAAAATAAATTATTACACATGTACTAAATTTAAAATTGCACTAGGATAACAAAAAATCATGGAAAAAATATTTGGTATTCTGAATTATAAACTCGTTTTATATTTACCAAAAAAATTCAACTGGTATCTCCTCAGTGTAAAATTATATTTTTGGTACTAAAGAACCTTATGAAATTGATTTCAAATATTATTTTACTAAAAAGATGCTTGATAACCTACCAACATGTTAACAATATCAGACATCCAAGTCTTACTCCCAACACCATGAAAACATCATCATTATAACAACCTAAAAATAAAAAAAATAAAAAAATAATTACTTGTTTTACAGATCAATCAAGAAGACTAACAAAATAATGCTATGTTTCATTTATTAAAACCTGTTATACATTATCATCTTCACTATATAAACTTTAAACTGCTAGAGATAGAAATTGACCTTGTGCAAGTGCACGTATATGTATAAGACAATGATTTTGGAATATTCAATTACAAAATCGGATGGTTTTGTTCTCTTTTGATGGTTCTTAAAATCATTTTCATAACAGCGTAGACAACCCCAATACTTATGTTGGTAATAATACTAACTCAATTACTGCAAATTCAGAAACTATTGCAATGTTTTTATTATTGCGAAAAATGCAACATGGTTGTATTGGCAATAATTTAAACTAGCATTTGAAATTTTTTATATGAATTAAACAGGATTTTTCTCAATATCGCAAAAATTAAAATCGCATTTTAGTCTAAAATTACAAAATCGCAATTAATGAATGGTTATTATTTATTTTGAATTTATTGAACCATAAAATTAATTTTTGACTCTTCACATTAAAGAATCCGAGAAGCGTATTATGTAAAATGTGAAGAGTCAAAAATTAATTTTATGGTACAGAAGACAGTAAATACACCAAATTTATTTATTAATAATTGCACGCAATTATTTCTGAATTTACAGTACTTTTAACTTGTTTGCCATTGGCTATCGATAACAGTGATTTTACGCTCACTCAGTCTGTCAGAGGCCTTCCAATAGGGATTTAAATAGAATAAAAGAGCAAAGTACATGTAGGGACAAGAGAAGAAGAAAAGAAGAAAAGAAAATAATTATTCAACATTTAAATCAACACACAAGGTTTAGTCCTCTGCTAGTAATTCCTACTATTTGATGTAGGCATTTAGAACCTTTGGCGACCCCAGTTTAAATATCTATTATATAAACACATTCAATGTGACAAGTGGCCGTTACAGACAAACTTCACCTTATCTGACCCAGTCAATAGATAACATAAGAGCGCCAAGAAAGCGTCTCGTCCACGCTTTTATGAAAATGATTCTATATCAATTCAATATTCAAACAGTTACAGACTTTGCATAAAAATTTGTTCGACCCAAATAAGTTTACAAATTCATTGATAATAACTTGCATATATATATATATATAGTTGGTTTCTATCCAACACAGCTCACTTGATACCAGACAGAAAACAAATGTAAGACTAGATACTCTAAAAATCAAACACTGATAGAAAAGAACCCTTAAAAAATAATGTTAAATGCCTATATATATATTATTACCATAAAATTTGTGGAATATATAAACTTACCACATATTTTTCATGGTAAAGCCTCAGACTTGGTGAAGATTAAATTGACCATCTCCCTTAGAGCTGCTCTCCCGGCTGACAAGGTGGCTCTCCTCATCATCTTAACATCTTTTTTTTTTAAATACTGTAAAAGCAGAAATTTTCGTGGAGGACTTAATTTCGTTTATTTCGTGGAAAGAATATATCCACGAAATTAAAACCCCCACGAAAATTTAACCTTCATATAATATCACTTCCATTTAATGGAAACCACGAAATTAAATCCCCATGAAATTTTATATAGAGAAAAAAACCACGAAATTTTAACCCCACGAAAATTAATGTTTCTACAGTATAGTCTTATACATTAAATATATCAGATGCATTTCCAATAAATCCCCTTTCTTGAAAATTTCAGCAAATCAATTGTTAATGACCCAAGATTTCTCCCACCCTGCATACTTATTATCTAGAGCTCTGCTTACATTTATTTTTTTTTATTACAAAGCTCTAAATAATAGTCAATATTAGCTAGTATACATCTGATATTAAAAAAAAAATGTACAAACATGAATATCCAAGTAGATGAAAATCCTAACATTGAGGGAATTTCAAGTATGTGGAGTTAAACAGGGGTATAATAAATTGCCTCCCTTTGACCCAAATTTCACCCTGTTCGGACTCCACATCCTTGTTATATTAAACAAAATAAATAAAATAGTACAATTAAAATTAGAAAATAGATTGATAACAAAAATCTAACACATTTCAATAAAATATTTCGTACTGATCGACTTATGGTGGCAGAGTGGTCCTATAAGTAGTTCAACTACTGTATCACTAGCCTGTCAACACTGAGAACCCTCACATGAAATGTGTAACTTCATTCTTAATTTGACTAAGGTTTGCCCGTTTCCCTGATGAAGGTGATGTTTTCACCAGGCACTCTGGCTGTCTCCACAAATAAAAATTTACAGCCAAAATTATAGTAAATCATGTTAAAGTGGTGTTTAACACCAAAAATCAACCAATCCAATTTCAACAAGATGTTCTTCAACTATACCTTTTGTAAAATTATTCTTTAAAAAATATCACCTTAATTACAAACCAAAATCAGCTAAAAATGACAAAAATGTGAAAAAAATATATTTCTAACTTCTTAACTTCGTAAATTCCTCTGCATTAGAGCACCCTTGTCACATATCTTAAAGATATTAAAATTAACATGAAAGAAAAGGTTGTAAGGGGATATATTTACTGCAGACCATTATTCATCTTTTTAGTTTACACTAGATTTAATTTGCTATGGTAAGGTATTTTGAAACGTTGCTAAAAAAAACAAAAATAATTAAAATTTTTGCTTAGAAATTTAGTGGGAATATTCACATCGGCAGATTTAATTGCATTAACTACATGTATAAAGTAACTTTTAAAATTTGAAAGTTTCTCAAATCCTTAAATAACAAAAAGATGGCAAAAATATATACATTACAATTTGCAAAAAAAAAAAATACATTTCAATAATTGAACATTCTTTTTTCTTTTTTCTTTCTTTTTCTTTTAGATTATCCATTCTTAAACTGCTGGAAGTGTTTTGACTAGACATGAGTATAAACGGAAAATAGAAAGAATTTTTGTAATGTCAAATACAAGTTCACCTACAACTTCCAATCTTGTTGAAAATGGAGAATCTTTACATATTTTTTTTTTTTTTTTTGTAAAAAAATTATAAACATTTTCTCAAGCATACACAAAAATAGTCTAAATTACATTCTTTACTGTTGCAGTTATATCACACAACCATTTTATGCAGCCACAGTTATCTGAAAAAGAAATATACATTACTCATGAACATTGAAATAATATTTAATGCAAAACAATTATAATTAAAAACCAATTGTTCAGAGAACAATTGAAGGTCTTTCCACCAATAACAATATATTTTGATAGGAAAACATCAAATTTCAGTTTAAAATGTCAGTTCCTATTGATTTATGATGTATAAATATGAATTTATTGCAAAGGTCAAAATCTAGAACGTCCAATCAATCAATGATCTTGACCTCAATTTCAAGGTCATAAACCAAGGACCTCAAATCAAAAGACCATTGGTCTTTAATATGTATGGTTAATGAGTTATATCACTTTACGCATAATTCTAGATATAAGATGGGCCAAAACTCCCATTTATTGTTTACGCACCCTCTCAACCAAAATTAACATGTTACGACATGTCGCAACTAACAATTTAGTAAAAATCATTTGTCGATATCTTATAAGGTTTTCGAAAATAGTGAAAATAAGTCAAAATCAAAATTTAGAATATGACCTTGACCTTTGACCTTGACCTAATTTTATTTTTTTTTTACCAAGGACTTTAAATCAAAAGACCCTAGGTCTATATCACGTATGGTTTACAAGATAGAAATGCATATCACTTATATCAAATGCATATGTGGAAATAACTCTCATATGGAGTGATCATATCGATTCGTTTAAAATAGGACAAATCATGCGTAGGATATAACGAGCAATTTGGTAAAATAAATTTGTCGCTTTCTTATGCGGTTACGGAGTAGATGTGGTCACAAGGAAAACAGTGTTCGGGGAGATAACTCTTACAAAGAAAATTGTTCGGCTTAGAACAGGTGAAAATAAAAAAGCGCATAAACTGTATGATACTATATAAGAAATATCTTAGCGACATATTGCGAAACAAAAATGTTACGCGAGAACAAAGTTTGGCGGAAGAAAATAATAATAATCAGAACAAATACAATAGGTCTTTCCACAGAAAAGTGGAAAGACCTAATTAACTGAGCATTACAATTATAATGTATAGAACATTTCTTTTTCTTTGTTATAATGTGATTTGTTGACATAAATTTTAAAGTACCAGTATTTCTTAGCAATACAAGGATGAAAAACAAGTCATTGGCTGATGTCTTGACAAATATCTTTTTAACATTGTTTTATAGCTATATATAGTACTGTACATCAGGCTATTAACATACTTGATTGAATTTTTTAACATTTAGTCATGTTGAACCTTTATAGCTAACTATACAATATAGGTTTTGCTCATTGATGAAGGCATAGGGTGACATTTAGTTGCATCCACATCATTTGGTCTCTGGTTGATAGCTGTCTCATTGGCATACATAACGAACTTACATATTTTCATATATGGGGACAACTATAGATAACAAAAAACTGAAATCCCAAGATTTCGCATTATACATTATACTTTTTGACTTCCCTTATATATCTTTATATCTCCTACTAAATTGTTTATTCAACTATAAGTAAAGAAGACATTAATATGTAAGATTTACATCTGTGCCTAACAAAAATCTTGGGCTTTAAAATGCTCTTGGATGAAAAGTTCATAAATATATGTATTGATTCTTACCATAAAAGTCAGCTCCAATGCCCACTCCCAGCTTCAATCCTTACAGACAAGCTGTGATGCTAACCTGAAATATAAAATGATAATTCATTAATAAAACCCTGTAATTCGGAAACGTAAAATCTAAAATTTATAAAAATCGAAAGGGAGCTCATGTCAATAGATATAAACAATTCACCACATTTTCTTGGAAGTTGGTGAAAGCATTATTGAGTTATTGTCCGAAAACTGGAAAATCCCCCTTTTTTTAATGAATAAAACCCCATAACTCGGAAACATAAAATCTAAAATTTATAAAAAACAGAGAGAGCTCACGTCAATAGATATAAACAATTCACCAAAGTTTTATGCAAATTGGTTAAAGCGTTTTTGAGTTAATGTCCGACATGTTGACGACGGACAGACAACGGTATACCATAATACATCCCTTAACTGGTGTATAAAAACTGTTTAAAAGGTTCTTTGTTGTATATTGAATAGATTGAATGAATGGTTGTTGGTTGCTTAAGGTCCAGTGGCAAATCATTAAATAGAAATAGTCTTAAAATGTGTTATATATGTCAAGAACACATGGATGAGACAGCAATTCAACAAGCCAACACATTTTTATGTAAACAATTCAGATCCTAAACTTTACTCTTATTTGGTTACTGATATAATAATAAGAGTAGATTCCTGTAAAAAATCTTTTAAGCGTTCAAATCTTGTTTTTCCATAAAATATTTATAATAAATTTGAGTTTTCCAAAACAGGACTAACATACTGGTACATACCTTTGTATTAGCTGTATAAGACCACCAAGTCTTATTCCCACACCATGAAAACATGTCTCAGAAAGAACCTGATTATTATAATCAACACATTATACATTTTGTAAATCAATTTATGTGTTACCGATAACCTAAAATTTACTAAATATTTTCTTATTGCAGGTAGACAATTGTATAAAATCATTTTTTTTTAAATCAATATAAAAGATAGAAAAGTAAAAAAACGTCAGATTTAAATTTAACTGCACAAAAAATATCTGAATATTTTACAAAGTTATCTCCCATTGAATGCAAAATCGTGTTTTAAATTGTACTGGTCTTTTCTTGAAGTTTAATGACTATTTTTAGGATTTACTATTGATATTTTAATAGAAAATCTTGTTCATGTATCTTGTATCTTTAAAAACTAAACTAGTAAATTAATTCATCAATGTTGTGTTGTTTTAAATGCAATATTTCAGAAGGGTCTGTTATCTTAAAAGATCTGGCTAAAATAAACTTACCTTTTCTATTTTCATGGTAAAGAGTCAGACTTGGTTGAAGATTTAATTAACCATCTTCCTAAGAGCTGCTATCCTGGCTGACAAGGTGGTTCTTCTCAATATCTTATTGTCAATCTATGTTGTGTCCATTTGTTTTTAGAAAATAAAGTAACATACATAAAAAAATATCAGATGCACTTTCAATTAATAAACTTTTTGAAAAATTTCACATAATTATTTTAGTGACACATAATTTTTCCCACCCTAAATTTCTATTATCTAGACAAATCTGATATGTAAACAAGAGTGCACACGCTGAAATGTCTCGCCTTCTTTACTAATCATTGATATTATGTTGATAGTCCTAAATATAAAGCTTTATTACAACTGTCACATAAACTTAACATTAACCAAGTAAACTAAACATTGACCAATGAACCATGAAATGAGGTCAAGGTCAGATGAACCATGCTAGGCAGGCATGTACAGCTAACAATTCTTCCATACAACAAATATAGTTGACCTATTGCTTATAGTTTAAGAAAAACAGACGAAAACACAAAAACTTAACACTGAGCAATGAACCTTGAAAATGAGGTCAAGGTCAAATAAAACCTGCGTGACTGACATATAGATCATAAAATATTTCCATACACCAAATATAGTTGAACTATTGCATATAGTATTAGAAAAAAAGACCAAAACTCAAAAACTTAACTTTGACCACTGAACCATGAAAATGAGGTCAAGGTAAGATGACACCTGCCAGCTAGACATGTACACCTTACAATCATTCCATACACCAAATATAGCTGACCTATTGCATGCAGTATTAGAAAAAAAGACCAAAACCCAAAAACTTAACTTTGACCACTGAACCATGAAAATGAGGTCAAGGTCAGATGACACCTGCCAGCTAGACATGTACACCTTACAATCATTCCATACACCAAATATAGTAGACCTATTGCATACAGTATAAGAAAAACAGACCAAAACACAAAAACTTAACTTTAACCACTGAACCATGAAAATGAGGTCAAGGTCAGATGACACCTGCCAGTTGGACATGTACACCTTACAGTCCTTCCATACACCGAATATACTAGACCTATTGCTTATAGTATCTGAGATATGGACTTGACCACGAAAACTTAACCTTGTTCACTGATCCATGAAATGAGGTCGAGGTCAAGTGAAAACTGTCTGACGGGCATGAGGACCTTGCAAGGTACGCACATACCAAATATAGTTATCCTATTACTTATAATAAGAGAGAATTTAACATTACAAAAAATCTGAACTTTTTTTTCAAGTAGTCACTGAACCATGAAAATGAGGTCAAGGACATTGGACATGTGACTGACGGAAACTTCGTAACATGAGGCATCCATATACAAAGTATGAAGCATCCAGGTCTTCCATCTTCTAAAATATAAAGCTTTTAAGAAGTTAGCTAACGCCGCCGCCGCCGCCGCCGCCGTAGCCGCCGCCGCCGGATCGCTATCCCTATGTCGAGCTTTCTGCGACAAAAGTCGCAGGCTCGACAAAAAGTGCATAAATGTGAGTATCCAAGTAAATAAAAATCTAACATTGAGGGAATTTCAAGTATTTGAAGTTAAACACAGTATAATAAATTACCTCCCTTTGACCTAAATTTCACCCTGTTAGAAATCCACATCTTTGTTATATATCACAAAAAAACATAAATAGTATACCGGTAATCAAAATAAAAAAATAATTAAATTACAAAAATTCAACACATTTCAATAACATATTTAGTGCGGATTGCTGAATGGTCAAAAACTACTGTATCATTAGCCTGTCAACACTCTGAACCCTCACATGGTAGGTGTGTTTAAGTCAATCTTAATTGACTAGAGTTGCCAGTTTCTCTGTTGAAGGGGATGTTTTCACCAGGCTGTCTCCACAAATATAAACTGGCAGCCAAGATATAGCAAATCATGCTGAAAGTGGTGTTAAATACCAAAAATCAATCAATCTACTTTCATCAAGATATTACCCAACTATGCTTCTTGTAAAATATTCTTAAAATAATATACCCTTTGTTATAAACTCAGCTAAAAATGACACAAAGGTGAAAAAATATATTACAATTTGCAAAAATAAAAAACATTTCAATAATTGAACATTTTTTTCTTTTTCTTTTTTTCTTTTCTTTTCTTTTTTTTTTTTTTAGATTCTCCATTCTTAAACTACTGGAAGTGTTTTGCCTAGACATGAGTATGAACAGAAAAAAGAAAGTAATTTTTGAAATTTCAAAGACCTATTAACCTACAACTTCCAATCTTGTTGAAAATGGAGAACCTGTACATAATTTTTTTTTCTTTTTGTAAAAATTATAAACATTTTCTCAAACATACACAAAAATAGTCTGAATTACATTCTTTACTGTTACAGTAAAATCACATAGCCCTTTTATGCAGCCACAGTTACCTGAAAAAGAAATATACAGAATTAAACGTAATTGTCAAAATCTGAAAATTGAAACAATATCAAATGCAAAATAATAAATAACTGGTCATGATAATCATGATTCATAAAACCTTTCTCTTACTTTGTTTAAAAGTGATTTGCTGATATATTTTTTGAACAACCAGTCTTTATTAGCAGAAAAGGATGAAAAACAAGTCAATGGTAGATGTCTAACATATTTCTTTTTTTACATGTTTTTTTTTGTATTGGTTCTTACCATAAAAGTCAGCTCCAATGCCCACTCCCAGCTTCAATCTTTACAGACAAGCTGTGATGCTAACCTGAAAAATAAAATGATTAGTCATTCAAAATTGTTTAAAAGGATCATTTTTGATATACTGTATGTATATTCCATATTTTGAATGATTGATTCATTTGATTGTTGGTTGCTAAATGTCTAGTGGCAAATTAAATAAAAGTCTATAAATATGTAATAGAAGTTGAGAAAAGCAAACCAGCATCCCAACAAAGTTTTACATAGTCAAATCAGATAATTAAATTTACTCCTTTAAAGGCAATTAAAGAAAGCAAAGACTTCTTACCAAACTCCTACAAACCTTCATGCTTAGAGCACATGCTATTTCCAAATACATTTTATAATATTACTTTTTCTTTTTTCAAAACAGGACTAACATACTGGTACATACCTTCGTATTAGCTGTATTAGACCACAAAGTCTTATTCCCACACCATGAAAACATATCACAGAAGAACCTAAAAAGAATTAAAAAAGACACATTATATATTTTACAAGTCCATTTCTCTATAAATATAAAGTCATTATATAATGTTCTGATTTTTTACAAAATGTACACAATAGTATCAACACAAGTTTGTAAGATAAACTGTTGACAGAGATGTCTCGCCTAGCAGCGGAAAATGGAAAAACATCTGATGATTAGCAACATTGCTAAATAATTCGATAATTTGTTAGTAATGCAAATAAAAACAAAATGTCATTGATCTATAGCAAGGAGTAACTATTAACCTGACTAAACAGAAAACTTGACATAATAAAAATAAAACAAGTCAAAAGTTTTTGTTTGGAATTTAACTGCACAAAAGTGATGTGCAAATTTAACAGTTATATCCCATTGAATGAACAAATCTTGCTGTTAATTGTACTTGTCTCCCCTTGAAGTTTTAAATATTTTGATCGAAAATCTTCAAGAAAATGGTAACTTAAATTATAAAACTATTTAAAATTAATACATCAATGGTGTTTTGCATGCAGAAGATCGGAAGGGTGTTGGTGTGTTGTCTTAATATGCACTTCTTGTCCAATATTTCTAGAAAATATATACAAATATTTGGCTTAAATAAACTTGCCTTCTTAATTTCTTGGTAAAAGCCTCAGACTTGGTTGAAGATTTATTTGACCATCTTCCTTGGAGCTGCTATCCTGGCTGCTTTCAAAGGTTTTCCATCATAGTTTTTTATGCTAATCAGTCCACTGAATCCATTTTATCTAAGTAATGAAATGTCCTTTCCATTGTACATTATAAAGTGTACAATAGTCACCAGAATGTTCCAAGGCATCTCACATTATTTTTCCAATCATGGAAACTGAAGAAATTCTCAATTTAAAATACAAATAATTTATTAAATTCATTTAAAAAGTACTGTAAAAATACCAGACATGCTTTTAAACAGGTAACTTGTATTTTGATAATTTAAGAAATGTATTCTGTACCCCACAATTTCTTCCACTCATTAAAAGTATATTTTAGAACTATGTTTACATTTTTTTTTATTTACAGAGCTCTAGATAATAGCTTTTATATAAGTTACCAGACATCTGATATGAAAATACTTATACAAATGTAAGAAAAAAAGTACAGTGTAGTAATAGTATAATAAACACATATAAATCAACATTTTTTTAAATATTTTGAAGCATAGTTTAATCAAAAATATCTCATTTTCAAGGTTTACTACTCATGTACATAGTAGTCATGTATAGTCCCAAAATTTGTAAAAGCCTCTATAGATTTGCAAACTCTCTGTGAATTCCAAAAGATGTGGGTTAAAAACTATTTATTTTACCTTTGATGAAAAATTACTTAGTTCCCAAGTCAGGAAAAAATTATCAAACAATTCCATAGTACCAAGTGGACAACTTAAATACTTGTACAATCATTGTGTAAAGTTAAAAAGATTGAGATTGAAAACTGCAGGATTTGATTACACAAAATCAGTACCATCTTTGAAAATTTTGTCAAACAATCATCAAGATCAGAATTAAGGGAAAAATGGGGGGAAATTCCTCAAAAAATTTCATATAAGCAGGTACATAACTTCAAAATGTACGCAATTATTCTGTGAAGTTTCAGTGGTACAAGAAAAAGAAGCTGAAATGAAAAATACAAATATGATGCAAAATGATATTACATGTATCAAGTATGAAATCTTTAGATTTAATAAAATTTAGAAAGAAAAAATTAAGAACTCAAAGAAATGATATAAATACTGATTCTTTATAATAAAAATTAATTTCAATACTTTATAATTTAAATTAATTTCAAAACTCAAATGGCACGTAATACTTCAATAAAATAGATTTTTACTTTTTACTTTAGTTTTATACTTGAAAGAAAAATAGTAGCAAAATTTACAATTGAAAAAGTAAAATTTTTTGTTCCCAGATTATTTATGATAGCATTTTTGATTTATATATATATATAAGTTATATCAAAATTTGTTTTATGTAAGATTACTTCCAATGACTTTTGTCAGAAA